AGTTGATCGATTTTATGACCTCATATATGAGCATCAGCCTATATGAGCAATTTAATTTTCAAGCTTCCCAAATTTACAATGCTGACGAGACTCGAGTCTCGACTGTCCATAAAAATGATAAAGTTTTATCAGTAAAAGGTAAAAAACAGGTTGGGAAACTCACTTCAGCTGAAAGGGGACGTAACATTACTGTCATGATTTTTTACGAGTGCATCGGGTCGCTTTGTACCCTCTACGTTCATTTTTCCTAGAAAAAAAATGGATAAATATGGCCGGCTCATGATTGGCGCACCACCTGAAAGTCTGGGCATTGCCTCCGAAAGCGGATGGATGAATGCGGAGATATTTTTGCAGTGGCTTCACCATTTTAAGAAACATGTTCACCCGTCAGAAGCTCGCCCTATTCTATGAATATTAGATGGACACAATAGTCACAAAGATCTGATTGTTATTGAATATGCTAAAGACAATCACATTCACATGCTGAGCACACCACCCCATACGACACATAAGATTCAGCCATTAGACCGTGTATTTTTCAAGCCTTTCAAACAGGCTTATGGATCAGCAAGCGCATCATGGATGCGTTAGAACCCGGGTGCTCGACTAACAGATGACGTTGCTGGACTGACAAATATAGCGTTTACCAAAGCTGCTAGATTAGAGATAGCCCAAAGTGGTTTCCGTTGCACAGGTATCCAGCCCTTTAATCGAGATGTGTTTTCAGACCTTGACTTTTTAGGTTCTGCGTTAACTGAAATAACCAATTGAAGCTAGATCTAGTGAATTGACAATCCCGACTCCTGATTCTGCAGCATCTGAAAATGAACCAGGACCGTCAACTAGCGCTTTAAATGTATCGTCAGCTACCATCGAGCTTCAGCAAGCAATACCAACCATGAATGATGAACCAACAGCTAGTGAAGACAGTGAAACCAGTAAGGTGAAGATATAAATCATCATCAATTTCATCTTGAAAGTGAAACGGACCTAGAACCGGATGAGTAAAATGCCCAAAGATATGAAATTATCCAAGAGCCGTGATAGCTCAGTGTCCGGGCGCTCGCCTTTAATTCAATATATACTCGAGCAACCTGAGTTCGATCCCCGGTGCCGGCACCAATGAAGTTTTTAACTTTAAGTGCTGAATTATCACGTACTCCGCGGTGAAGGAAAACATCGTGAGGAAACCTGCATATTTTCGAAATCATAACAAAAAAAAATGTATTTCGAAGATATGTGAAGTCCGCCAATCCGCAATGGGGCCGCGTGGTGAACTATGCCCTGATACCCTCTGTACAGAGGAGGCCTTTGCCCAGCAGTGGGACATGTATATGCTGTTACTTTACTTAACTTATGAAATTATTGAAGATTTTCCTGATTTACAGCGTAAGCCGATGATTATCATTAATGCGTCATAGTCTTGCTGCAATCTAAAAAACGGGCTGTTTATTACGTTGCGAAGGTTCTGGAAATAGAAACTAACGATGAATATAGCGTTTCGTACCTAAAATTAAAAGATCGTCTAAATAAAACCTTTATGTTTCCTCTAGAACCCGATATGGCTTATGTGAAACTCAGTGACATAAAAATGATTCTCCCTCCTCCTTGTGTCAGGTACGAAACGTCTGATTTAATATTCCTCCAATGTAAAAGTTTACATTGGAGGAATATTTCAAGATAATCTTTACTAAATATGGCGATAATATTTACTTTGACGGTATTGAATTTGATTATTCGGTAAATTAATGAAGACTGTTAATTTTAAATTTGAGGAAGGCTGATTGTTGATTGATTTTGACCAGAGGTTTACATGATAACTTAGCGTTATTAAGAAGTTAACTGCTCTGAACAAACAAACTCTAACTAACAAGTTATGACTTAGAAAAAAAGGTTAGTTCACTATTCACTCAAAAACGCACTTTACTTTCTAAGTGGTATGTTACACACATTTATAATTAAACAAACGAATAATTGCAATGACACCATTTCTTATTAAACCGCCATAAAAATAAATAATAAAGTGTCAGCCTATAAATGTTCCACTGCTGGGCAAAGGCTTCCTCTATACAGAGGGTATCACTTCACATATCTTCGAAATATTTTATTAATATGTCGAAAATATGCAGGTTTCCTCACGATGTGTTCCTTCACCGCTGAGCACGATAATTCAGCACTTGAAATTAACATCATTGGTGCCGGCACCGGGGATCGAACTTAGGTTGCTCGAGTATATTGAATTAAAGGCGAGCACCCGGACACTGAGTTATCACGGCTTGACACCGCCATTAGTATTATAATATTTCATAATTAATATTTTATTTTCAGATGATAATATGACACCTGATATCAGGCCACCCACACTCGTTATTAGTATAGATTTGACACCCTTTCAGCCTTTGGACATAAATTCCTATAGTAAGGAATATAATATAGTAAACGAAAAGACTACTTTTCCTCAATCAAGCTGTACACTGTACAGCAACACATCACAGCATAAATCTAAAAAAAAAGATGAAAGAAATTGGTAGGTTAAAAAATAAATATGAGAAAAAATTTTATGTGCAGTTTTGGAAAAAAAAAACAAAATAATTAGAATAAAAAAATTAAGCTTGGAACTTAAAATAAAAGAAAAGGAGTATGAAAAAAATTTTAAAAAGTAAAAGAAAGTAATTTAAAAATTCCTGTACTGAGATGAAAGATTGATAAGACTACAAAATAAATATATAATATATTAAAAAACCTGGCGAAAGCCATGGACTAAAAATATCTATGATTAATAACTTATATTTTTCAAAAAAAAATTGTACAAAATTGTTGTTTTTTGTTTGATAAAATTAAAATTAATTTCAATTTATAGTGCATTATATTTTTTAATTTGATTATTAATTATTCTTTATGTTATGAGGTTAAAAACCATTATAACTGTTACCTAGTCTATTAAAGAAAGCTGTGTTATGAAATAATTGGATATTAAAAATTTGAGCCACAAATTGGTAACATCTAATTGTATTTATGAAATATAGTTCACCTTTTTAATATAAAAGTGTTGATATAAGTATAAAGTTATAATAGTAAAAGATTTACAAAAAAGTTTTTATACTATTTGTTTTAGCCAAATTTGTTAATATTAGTTGTTTTAATTTACGTTGTTTTAAGTCACTAGTATTATCTGAAAGGTTTATTACCTCTGTGTCAGAATAATCAATATAATAGTCGTGATTTATTGCCAAATAATGTAAAACACAGCAAGCTACCACAATATTCATAGCCGTTTGTAGCTTCACCCGAAGGCCCATAGACAAACAGGGAAAACATCTTTTTAATAGACCAAAACACCTTTCCACAGTGTTTCTTGTCTTTATGTACTCAGTTATAAGCTTCTTCACTAGAGTTTGAAGGGCGCAAAAACACTGTCAATAAATATGACCTGCAGGGATAGCCACTATCTCCCAGTAGGAAGTCCTTCCCATACACTCCACTTTCAAAATTGGCTTGAATGTGAGAGGCATTTATTATAGTGGGGGTCATGTACAGACCCAGTCCACTGACAGATCACATCCATAATTTTCGAATGAGCCACACATATAACCTGAAAACATTCAAAGAAAAGAATCACTTCCTGTTTCTGAATAGCTCAGCTTGTGAACGTCCAGGTGATTGTATTTTTATGTGTGTACAGTCAACAGTTCCAATAACATTTGGAATTTATGTTGTAATGTTCATATTTTACTCTGTTTCTGTCTTCTACTGTAGTGGGCATCTTTATTAATTCAGGCCTAAGATTCGCTATTAATGCGGAAACTTTTTTAATAATTCTACAAGCTGTAGATTTGTGCACCCAGATATGGTTGCCAATGGTTATTTGGAAAGCTCCAGTTGCATAGTAATATACTGTTAACAGCACTTGTTCCAAGGAACTGATAGAATTGTTTCTCAGTGTAAATGGTTTTATTTTGGGTTCTATGAGGTCCACCGACAACAACAATGCAGACTTCATCATTCTATATCGGTTCTTGAATTCCGTGTCATTAAAAAACCCAAATGGATTCATTCTAATATTTATGTACACTCAACCTTCTTTGATTTTCATCATCGCTGCTGGAAATACTGATACTACTCAGACTGATATCCGACATCTACAACAGAAACATTTTTTTTATGTAGCTGTTTAAAACGGAGACAATATTTTCATACAGTTTTCTTTAAAAGTTAGCTTTACATACCTTATAAATGAAAAATTTGCAGGAAACTGAGTACTTCAAAGTTTTCATACAATATTATGACCAGATAATTTGCCGATTACTTGACAAAGTTTTTGACATGAAATTAATCTCTAGCGCAGCAAGTGCTTCAGAAACCCAAAATGGTGTTTGACAAACGATTTGGAACTAAAATTTGACAATGAAAGTATTTGCTATTATATACGATTATTTTTCCTGGATAACAATAACAAAGTGACGTACACTTACATCATTTGACTTAGTTAATGGGGCATCCTGTATCTAAAGATCTATAAATCCTTAACAAATATTAACATAATTTCCCTTATTTTTTTTTTTTTCACAAAATGAATTAATCCGTACTTAAGGAATATGGGATAGAGCTATCATCTTGATCACGTTCGGCAAAGGTGGACCCTGAAATTAAGAAGGGAAGTCTTTCTTCCAACTCTGAAAGTGGTGATTTGTTTTCTCAACCGATTTTTTTTACCAGCCCGAAACTATTTAAAAAAAGCTATGGGTACCGAGTAATGAAATATGAAAGCATTAAACGTTACATTTAACTAAAGAAGGTTAACGCATTCAATGGGTTATTAACATAAACATATTCGCTATCTCAAGTGCTTACTATGAAACTCACTCGCTTGTGGAAATGACTTGGCGTTATTCGTTACGTCACCCAAGAATTGTGTACCATCATCGTGACTTCTTCCCAGTTTTAATTTTGTCCAATGGCGAGCTTGCGATGAACGTCAGTAACTCATTCTCTTTTAATTAACCAACTTTTCCGTTCGCATGTACGACTGGCAGGACATTAATTTTCTGAAAGTACATATTAAATATTGGTGATTGTTTACATTATTGACTCATCTTTCGTACACAGCTTTTTAAACGGTAGTAAAATGTAACCGAAACAACAATTATGAAGTAAAATAGTCGCCGACATTTAAATTTAGAGAAAAAAATAGATCTTGTATATTTAAGAATCGGGATATCAAATTACATCATTTTAAGGATACGAAAATGATAGCTCATTGTCAGCTCGCTCGCCTTTAATTCAATATACTCGAGCAACCCGAGTTCGATCCTCGGTGCCACCAATGAAATAGTTTCAAGTACTGACGCCAATACGCAGGGATCGCTTGGTGATCCCAAAGACCTCTTACCTATAGTATATATACATTTAGTAACTTTACTTTTCTAACTTTGGTGAAAACAATGACACTTTACTTTTCTAACTTTGGTGAAGACAATGACACTTAAAAACCACGGACTAGAAACATAGCAGGACCCCACGCCACGAATGTCGTGAAAAGTGAAACACAGTGCGATCTACGTGTGAGTTAGGTTGACCATGCATAAGTGAAGGGATGTTTGTCCATTTTTTATATTTAATATCGTTATAATGTAAATCTCAGTAACAAGTTGTTTTGACTTATATTCTTGGTTAAAACCACTTTTGACCGATACTGTTTTTGACCAACGACATCGGTCAAATACATTATTGACTGATTCTTGCAGTCAAAGCTTTGACCGGCTATGAGTTTTGACTGTAACATATATCAGGAGGATATCCTGATATAACACCAAGATAGGATCTTGATGGGATTACTATTTTACCGCCATTAATACTCCATTGAAGCATTGAAGCTAACCTACAACACCCCATATTTAAGGATTTATCAATTTTTTTATAAATTTTCTCATTGAATATCTGTATTGAAAGTAACTATTTTTCTGTCGCCTACTACAATTTGACTGAATCGATTTCAGTAAAATGTGGTTTAAATCGCAATAAAGGACATGTTATTTTCATCATCATACTTATGAATTTATTATTTATTTATCATTGTTCCAAGGTTGATTTGAAAAAAAAAAACAGAACAAAAAATATTTGTTGGGGCTCCCATACAACAGACAATTTATTTTTACCGTTTTTATAGATAATGTATGGAACTCGTCGTGGGCTAATCAAAATCGCACTTGGGTGTTTTTTTTTATTTGACGTAAACAGTAAATGCAAGACGCTGCCGTACCTCGTAACGAAGGGCGGTAGACTTACTATGATGTAAATGGTAGGGCCACGCAACAGTGTTCGCTGGTGCACGAATGTAAGATATATAAGATATACATAATGTATAATATATAAGATCTCCTACTAAACGGCTGGACCGATTTTAATGAATCAATTTTCAAGACATTTACAATTTTTTTTTCTTAGTTATCGGATTTAAGTTGTGTGTACAGGACGTCTGCCCGACCTGCTAGTTATTTATAAATTAAGACAAAATAGATTCAACATTTATCCATTTCAAAATAATAGTTCGGATTTGATAAGTGTACATTTTTATATGTATATCAAGGACAACTAATTGCAGGATTTAATTGCTTTTTTTCTTGAAATCTTAATATCGGCGACAACATTTACTTGGAAATTAAATTATCGTTTCGGTTGTTTCTCTATTGATTAATAGTATTCGTATACGAAAAACGAGCTCTTTTGGTATTTAATTACACTTTATAAAACAGATTGTGTAAATAATAATACAACAGTCTAAAAAGTTTACACTACCAGTTATTGAAAAACATAACAGTATTTAATTATCGAAATATGGGTATTATTGTCCTATGATAATATGTATGTGATGTAGATAATATGTATATTCTAAGATCTCTATAATGCGCTCTAAAATCATGCAGACTTAACTTAAAATAAAATTCTACTATCATTGCAATTTAAAACGACATGCAGGAGTAACTTGAATTTGACGCCAAGAAAAATATTATTATAGTTTAGCGTCTTCAGATCTGTTCGGTAACGGTAACGTTCTGAATTACAGACAATCCATCTACAGTTATACAAACATTTTCACTATCATTTTCTACAATCCACAAGTAAAAGAACATATATTATTATAGTTTAATGTCTTGGGATAATCTCCATTTAAAAACCAGTACATAGTTTTTTATGTAGGAAAAAAATTAAACAATCCTGATTTAATTTAAAAAAAAAAACAATATAACCGAAAACGGACCATTTGTCTGTGTTTTAATATGCCAGATATAGCAAATGGAACAGATAACCCAAGTATCTTGTTCATCATTTCGAATTAGTTCAGGAGTAAGCTATTCAAATCAAGTTTGAATCTAGAGTGAGTTCGAACCGAAACCAAATTCAAATCTAAATTGGGGAATAAGCCTGCCTCATATAAATTCAGTAGTGATATTCTATACGGGTTCTAATAAGTCAAACTTATCAGAAATGCTTACCTGTGTTGCGGTTGTGGTTGAATTAAGCAGCTCATTTCGTAACTCTGCCAATATGTGCTGGGCTTCGGTTGGAATGGCAAACTTATTCAGTCTCTTTCTATCACCGCTGGTGAATGATGAGTTATCGAAATGTTTACCACATAGCATCTTATGCTGCTTGTACAAATTACGCAGCGATTGGTCAGAGATACAATCTACGTTCGGAAAGCAAAATTTGGCCCAAACTTTTGCTCTGAAAATAAATTTTAAATATTGTTAATAATCGTGACATTAATAAGACAGCTAAGAGACATGTACTCATGTAGGGAATAAATTGCTTTCATTTGTACAATCATATTGAAATCTACTTACTTTAGAGACTCACGAACGGATGGCAGAGGAAATCTATGGAAGGTCAAAGATGAATCTTCGTTTGAAGTTATCCCGCACTTAGCACAAATCATGCTTCTATTTCCTGTCATAATAAAACTGTCATTATTATACCACTTTGGGTTTAAATTAAAATAATATGTATATAACATCAATTTAACACAATTACAGTGGTACGGCCACCCAACAGTTTGCTGTTGCACAAATGGGCGGGTAATTCCGGATTAGTACCACAGGCTCAAAAAACATCAGCATGAAGTAGAAGTGTTGCACTTCTGCATTTAGTCTGGTGAGTGAGGTAACCGTGGCTCACTTTTTCACTGGTTGGCAATGCTTATGCAAACATCATCATTCAACATCAAGTGAACAGCCTGCCAGCCTTGCCAACTTTTCATATAAGGTAAGGTATATGTATTTAGATACATAATATATAAACTTTATTGTCCAGTGCCCACCTCTATTGAAATAGCTTACTTGAATTATTTTTAGATTGCACTAACAAATATGTGTGGAGTAACTTGGCTTACTTTTAATAATATTTTCAGCTGTACTATTAGACTGCAAATTACTTTTAAAACTTCTGTTTTGCTTATCGACTCTTGAGAATGGTTTTCTCCGTCTTAATGTTTCTGACAAATTTTTACTTCTGAACAACTTTTGCCCTTTGGGGGTTAAGTCGGATAATGGCTTTACATTGGTTTCCTTTGTAATACCCTTGTTTTTATGAGATTTCTGTAAACAAAAAAATTTGCAGCATCATATGTACATAACGGCGACCTGAATGGTGTAGTGAGTAGTGCACCTGCCTCCTCTGGGTGTTAGTTTTATACCCATTACTGGAAAAATATTGTGTGATGAGCATAGTGTTTTTCTAGTGTCTGGGTGCTTATATATGTATAATATGTATTTGTTTACAAAAGAAAAGTATATTTAAGGTTTTTTTATCAGTTATCTAGTACCCATAGTACAAAAGTTGCTTAGTCTGAATGTTTTTGAAAAGAGAATGTTGTGTAAAAATGTGTCCTAAAATATATATTATATTTATTTATTATTATAACTAATAACAATGCAAAAAAATTAATAAGGTTTTGAGCAAAATGCTTAAAATAATCTTATTATTTCCATTGTAGATACAATGTGACAAAGGAAAACTACTTATAAATAAAAGATGTTGTCATCAGGGAGGTGGGTAAAAAAAAAAAACACTCGACAATGATTTACATGTTGTGCCGATCCCACCTAGGTGGTATAAGGGCAGCATAATGATGATGATGATTATTATTATTATTATTATAATCAAAATTATAGTTTTCAAATTACCTTAGCCAAAGTTTGGGTTGAAGGTTCGTTTTCATTTGTGAATTCCATAGATATTGAATGCTGTGATGTACTTATTGAAACACAATGATCCATCTGTAACAAGTATGACTTCTGAATGTGAATATCTTACATTGTCATACAAACATATAAACAACAAAATTATTAATAGCATAATAACCGCCATTAATTATTTAAAAATCTAAAATATTGACACAAACCACAAACTGAGTGTGATGATAATCATGTATATCCCCAATCAATGTCATTGACCAAAGATATTTATAACAAAATCAAGTGATGTAAAACTTCAGAAGTGAACTAAATGTTACCGTCATAAATTTGGATGGAATGTAAGATATACTTATTGCTAGCCTTTCGCCCGTGGCTCCATCCGTTTGCACTACATTTTATATTGTGCCTAAAAAGTAGTATATAGCCTTCCATGGCTATGCCAATGGGCTATCTAACAGTGCAAGAATTTTTTAAATAGGACCAGTAGTCCCTGCATTTCAACTACAACTACTGCTACACCAGATGATGGATTATGATTGGCCACTTTTTTGGCCATAGTCATAGTTATAACATATTGCAGATGATATAGTTCTGAGGTCAACATACGTTGGATGTGACAGAACTGTTTATTTGTACTTTTGGGTTTTGTACCCAAAGGGTAAAATGGGAAGTGTTATACTTAGGCGTTCCGCCTGGTAAGTGAGGTAACCGGGTCCCACTTTATTAAAAGGAGGCAATGCATCTACAACCCTTACAGTTGTTGTAAATATTCATGGGTAGCGGTAACATCAGTTAAACCGCCAGCTCGCTTGCCACCTCCTAATATAAAAACAGGTTAAACTAATATAAGTGTGTCAAAAAAAACATCAACTGATGGCAAATACAGATTACCCTAAATATTATAAAGGTTTACCTGGTTAATGGGTGTATCTGTAAATGAATTAAACAGCTCATTTCGTAATTCTGCCAGTATGTGCTTGGCTTCAGTTGGAATTGCAAACTTACTCATTCTTTTTCTATCACTACTGGTAAATGATGAATCATCGAAATGTTTACCACATAGCATCTTATGCTGCTTGTAAAAATTACGCAGCGATTGGTCTGAGATATAATCTTCGTTCGGGAAGCAAAATTTGGCCCAAACTTTTGCTCTAGAAATGAATTTTATACATTTTTAACACATGTTATTAATTCAAAGAGACGAAAAGCATAAAAAGATTTAATTCGTATAGTAACATTCAAATCTACTAACTTCAGAGAGTCACGTTCAGATGGCATAGGAAATCGATGAAAGGTTAAAGAAGAATCTTCGTTCGCATTTATGCCGCACTTAGCACAAGTTAACCTTCCTTTTCTTGCCATTATCAACGAACAAAGGTTGAAGTACAATTGAAAGTTTAAATATAAATAATCTCTATCTCACAAATTACAATTATCTCAACTAAGAACACAAACACGTCCAGTTCGCAATGTCTTTCTCCAATGAGTACCACAATTTACCAGTTAAAATTAAATTTACCAAAATTAACATAAATGATGGATCCAAAGAGTATTTTTATATATCTGGAATCAAAGAGTACATGTCTGGAATTCTGGATACCGTTGATTTCAGATAATATACAAAAGTACTCTTTGCCGTTGATCACAAACCGTAAACTTAGTGGTTATATTCTCTTTGTCACAAACAAACACAAAGCAATTTCAGGAAACGAAAGGAATTAGGGAAAATATCGACATATCGATATTTTTTTAAATATCCCATATTTTTGGCCGATATATTTTGATCCGATATATCGATATAAAAATTGAACATATAAAAATCGTATCAAAAACGATATTGTTTAAACTAATTCAAAGCTGAAAAGATAAAAATGCAGGAAAAAAAAGACTGTTGTCTATGACTAGTATTGTCGTGGATGCAGTGTTGGTTGTGTTTTGTAATAAAATTATGGTATTACTACAATTTCATGCTTCGTACTTTATACTATCCATATCTAAGTACAACATGGTATAGAGGTTCAAATCATTAATATTGATCTACATGTTAAGCTCATTTATAAAGAGCATGCAGAATATTAATGGCATCAACTAAAGTGACTTTAATTTAATATGCAAACTAAGTGAACAAAAATTTAATTATAATCAAATTCTCAATAATTAAATGTCACATACTACAGGGAGGCTTTTCTAAGTGTATCCAAATGTTTTAATTAAATTCTGGACATAAATAATGAATTAATAAATATAATTAACTTTATATTATTATATTTTGGACAATTTACTACACCGGCGTATGCAATGCTCAGACACAAGTAATGTTATAAAATAGTTTGAGAAAGCGTGCTCTGTAAGCTTTGTATTGAGAGAAATGGGAGTCCATTTTGAATAATTGTTAAAATATCAGTGAGTGTTTTGCGACTAAATGAATAGGTAAGTTTAATTGTTGTAAATAGTTGATTCAACTTTTTAAATACGACATAATAAGTACGAATAATAGTGTGTCAATATTTGTGACTGGACTAAATTTTTAAAACGAAAAATTTAACTGATATATCGATTTTTTGTCGATATATCGAGGCCTACATTGATATTTTTATAAATATCGATATATCGATATTTTTTTTTAATGAATAGGTAAGTTTAATTGTTGTAAATAGTTGATTCAACTTTTTAAATACGACATAATAAGTACGAATAATAGTGTGTCAATATTTGTGACTGGACTAAATTTTTAAAACGAAAAATTTAACTGATATATCGATTTTTTGTCGATATATCGAGGCCTACATTGATATTTTTATAAATATCGATATATCGATATTTTTTGCGACTTCCGGCATCCCAAAAACTGAATAAGAAACACTTAAACTACCAAAAAGAAATGGCCCTAAAATAAAGAAAAGATAACCAATACCCCTATGTGCAATTTTCAAAAGCACCAAAAAAGCCCTGTATTGAATTCAAAGATACAGTTTAAATGAGTTTTACGTTTTGTTAAGGTAAATGTAATATGACTTAGTTTTAATTATTTGTCGTTACAAATAGTTGAAATAATTAACAAAACAACACACTTTTAACATACATTTCATTAATTACATTAATTAATAGGCATTTCGTTTGTATTTTACTCACTTTGGTCAGTGAAAATATTGATTCATGAAAAATATGGCCCTAAATTTTTTTGCACCTAAAGAAAAGCCCAACTTGCTAAAGTAACTAAAAGCCCTAAGTTGGCAAGACTGACGGTATCTTACGGGCCACGGAGCCAAATCAAAAAGGCATGGGCAAAATGATGGTTGATGGTTGATGGTTGGCGCTCCACCACAGTGCGTTTTTCACGAAACTTTCTACCTCGCACAACTACTTTGTGGAACGAGTTGTCGCCAGCGGTATTTCCAGACCGACACGACTTAGGGACCTTCAAGAAGAGAGCCTATTCCTTCCTTAAAGGCTGGAAACGCAATTGCGACTCAACCGATGTTGCAAATGTCCATGGGCTGCGGTGATCGCTTATCACCAGGTGACCCACATGCTCGTTTGCCTCCTATTCCCATAAAAAAATATATATATATATATCGCCATAAATAAATATCGATATTTGTCTAAACACTTCACAACATAATTATATATCATCGATATTTTTATTGCGATATCCGATATATATTTTAGACTATAAAATTCGTGTCAATTTCGATATATTTTTATCAAAACTCTTGTTTCGTGTCTAATTAAAATATCGATATTTGTTTATACAATTATCGAAATAAACGTGGATATTCTTATCGCAATATACTGATATTCTATATTTATTTTAGATTTTAGATTATTTATAGATAGATTTTATATATACGTTTAAGTAAATAGATAGCATTTTAATTATATTTTTTCATTGTTGTTGTATCTATTGAATATCATTGATTAATTACATTATTAGAAAATAAAAGTATTATTTTCAATGAATTATTTCTTGTTTAAACATTTTTGTAAGTTATCTTTATTTCAGCCTGTTTGAGTCCACTGCTGAACATATATAGGCCTCCCCCATAGACCAACTTGAAGTACGATCCCGAGCCAACTGTATCCCATCACCACTTCAGCTGGCTTATTTATTATATTAAAATGTAACTAGTTTTTAAAGTCGAATAGCGGAGTGAGCTCGAGTTATAAGCCCAATTCGGTGATCCGTGACTATTAGACGCCAAGTCGCGCTAGATCGATTCGGATATCATTTCAAAACAATTGTATCGACCTATAAAAAAAAGCAAATCGTCTGATCGCCGTCAAAGCGATGGCTTTGTAACGACTTATTCAACTTCACGTTATTACCGATACTATCAATAACAACTTTTTGACTTTTACGTAGAATTTCAAGTCATTTAATTAAAACCATTCGATGACTCTGTGGCGCATTGGCCAAGGTATCGGCTTCGGCATTCGGGGGTCGTGGCTTCGATTCCCATACGGGACAACTATTTGTGTGAACCACAAATAGTTGTTGCGCATCTAGGTGTTTGTCCACGTGAAATTTATGTTTGTAAAACGTCCTTACAACACAGGATAATATTATCCTAAAGAAAGGGCAAAGTTAAAAAAAAAATAAAAAAAAATTATCAAAAAAGTTATCAATTGTATTAAATATCTTTTTCACAAAGAAAGACTGGAACAGAGCTTTTTTTTTTTTTTGTTACGCTTAAGAAGTATAACTTCTTACGTGCGTACATAACACACACACATTTTTTTTTAAGTTTTTTATTGTTTAAAGTTATTTTTTTTTTGTTGTAGGTGTTATAGCTTTGAAATTAGAAGGTTTTTGTATTGGTTATTTTTGTACTAATCATCAAGTTAGTTCGTGTTTCGTAATAACAGATATCAATGTTATATAAATCGATATCAAACAATACGTACCACTTTACCGTTTTAGTGATGTTTGATATATTGGACATGCCATATATCAATATAATATTCGATTCGATAATTTTCAGTATATATGTCTTTTAACTTTGAAGTTTCACACTTTGACGGACTGACAGTCGGCAGCGGCCAGTCCTGTATTTTGTGTCTTTGTGTGTGATTCGCCGTCGCCGCCATTTGTAATGCGATTGCGTATTTCTCTTTAATTTCGATTCATTAGCTATAAAACTATAAATTTTGTTGGATAATGTTTCTCGTCTGAGTAGTTTGCTGATTTTAGTAGTAGTGTAAGTTTGAATTCGGAAGTTTCGGTGAGAGCAACTCGCTATTTTTTGTTTTTATTGAGGTGGGACTTCTACTATAACATTTTTATTTCAAGAAAAAAGTGTTGTTTTCCTGAGTGTATTGAATCAGGAAATAGGATATTGTAATTCAATATCACTAATTGATATAAGAACGGCAAATAACCTCTCGTCGTAACTTTCATGCCGATTAGCTAGCGTTCAATTCACAGCTTACAACTAACAGGTGGTAATTTTACCTGGAAATCCGAAGTTTTGTATCTCTATTGGCAGAATTTTTACATTAATCGTTCTTGCACTTTATTGTAAATAAATAATATTTAAACAGACTACGCCCACCAATTTTTAATAAAATCTATAGACTTGATGGAAATGTATTTATTTCATAAAAATGTTGTTTATAAAAATTTCTCTGAAGTTATTACTGGTACTTTTTTTTGGAATCACATAAGCTAATGTCTATTTCCAAATCCAGGTAGAGATAGCGAAGGCTAATCAGTGGGTTTATTTAAATTGAAGGCGATATAATTTGTTTAGGAAATGACTACACATTAGAGTGCAGGCTCTTCGAGGGATTCAGTAACATTAAATTTGTCTGGTTAGCTTGAACAATTCATATAATATCCTTAGAATTAATGTTTATTTTTAATGCTGGTCACTCGAATCAATATGAAACTTAATGTGTTGTGGCAGCCCCAAGGCTTTTGTGCAATAAAGAAAAGACAGTGCATATTATCCCGTGGTGATTTACAACATTTTTTTTAAAAGCAGTACATTGAAGTCTTGCTTGAATTTGATAATATTTATATATCTTGATTATCCTATTTCACTTCATTCAATCTGGTTAACTTTGACACATCACTATATTTTTTTAGCTAACTTTATCTACTAAATATGAAACAAATGAGTTTACACAATCTGTTTCCAGTTTTCACGCTCACAAGTATTTTAACCTATTGAAAAATCATAAAATATATAAAAAAATGGCAATTTTATTGTGTCAAAATTATAACCCCTGTATGGGTAACTTTCACACGGATGAGATTTGTCGCAGGAATCATAACTTTTAAACATTTTAGAGCTTTATGGTGACATTAGTTCAAGTTTTTAAATCCAATGCTTTGGAGATAGACAAATCAATAAAATTGTAAAAAACACTTCACAATTAAATCAACATTTTGGAACATAGCTTTTGAAAAAAGGTTTTATATTCATCAGAATCAATTGTATCACATAAAAGGTACACATATATAGGCTTTATGCTTATGCTTATGCTTAAGGGCCTATTCATCCCACTCAAGTCATCTTCAAAATGATAAATTCAAAAAGGTTTGAACTTTGATTTTGTCTGTATCCACAGCTATTATGACATCAAATTAATAATTTTGACAATCTCCTTTTTAACTGGTCACTTTGTCTCATCTTTTTTTGCTCTTTTTTGTTTGTTATTCTGGCAATCCACCTTCGATTGACTTGTTCATTGCCGCAACAACATGATATGGGGCCAAGTATGATACAACTTTCCCAGTAAACATCATTCATCTCTAAATGCTGCTAAAAAAAAAAACTTTCCAAGTGTTGTTCTCTAATGTGGGATTCAGATGTACATTCCGTTTCTTCGGTCTCATCCACAATAAAATAATCTTTGGATCATGTGTTTTGTTTGTTTTCAGTACCATATTCTTTGTTTTGTCTCACTTCTTTGTATTTACTTTTGATCTTCATCCTATTTTTCAAGCCCTTTTTCACAGGTTTCTTAGGATCAACTGAACTATTGCGATTGGTAGGCTGCTTTGGATTCTTATTCTTGACTTCAGCTTTTCTTGTAAAATTACTCAACTTCCTCCACCGACACGCTCTTACCAGCAATAACTGGGATTTTAAATTTCCCTAGGCTCTGTGTTTGTGGAACTGAAAAATGATGTGTACATGCTAAGAAAAGATTATGACATTATTTTCGTTTGACAGCTTCTAATTGTTTCAGACAGTTTGTTAGCAAAGTTTGCTATGTATACAAATTGTTTAAATTCAATATTAAACAGTAAATGTTGCTTACAAAAAAAAATAAAGTAAAGTTACAAGATTACCTGATTGATGGTATCATTTCCATTGTGATAATTAAAATAGATACTAATTATCTATCAAAATAGATATAACCCTTCCACTGTACTACACATATTACTTATATTTTTAATCTTTCCTTGCTAAAGGGTAAGCGTTATCTCCATATGCAGACTCAATTTATAAGGTAAAATATAAACTACTACATTATCACTAAGGTTGCATGGCCATAAGCTACTGGCTTCATCCTTGGTTTATTTTGCATGACCATTGAGCCAGATACAAAATTATTCATGAGCAACAAAAAACTTGGCTGCACCATCTACCAGAGCTACATCATCAATTTCAGTGACTTCGGCCTGCCCTTTAACAAATAAAAATATGGCTCATGCAAGAAAATATTGGTAATGATGATCTTATATGTTTACTTTGTAGTCATTAAATTAAATTGCCTTAATGTAATATTTTGATCCCTGAAAACCTATATTTCTAAATATAAAATAAAGTTAATAGACATAATTGTTAATAATAACTATTTACTATTTCATCTTTTATATTCTGCCTATGTGGCCTTATAATGCTTCCAACAAATAAAAATAGTCAACAGGAGCAGAATTTGGTAAACAAGTCATATTTAAGGAATAATCACATTTAAAGAAGGAAGGCCACGGGTGAAACCCGTGACCTTAGTAAAATTTGTGTTATTTCAAAAATTGATTACAAGCCATGGGGCATTAGTATTGAATAAAAGTGTTAAACCATTTCAATGTGTTAAACTTTACACTTTATATTAAATCTTTGGGTCTTTTGCACACGCCCAGTTTTTTTATTAATAAAAGTGTGTTTCATTGTGATTTCAAAAGAAAAATGAGGATGTAATTATGCTAAATAATTTTTAATTACCTAATATTTCCTTTTGAACAAATTTGGCTTCTTTTTCGGCGGCTAATTGCTGCAAAGCATACATATAACACTTTATTATTAAACCTTGTTACTAATGACAGCAAACAACTTAATTTCAGTCTATAAGTTCCAAGTTTCTAATTACAAAATAATATTTATTTATTAATTTTTATTTTAACCCCAAAATGACTTTTTTGTTCCCTAATATAATTTGGGTTTTGAAAACCTAATTATTGTTTATTGTAACTGCAAAATATTAATAGAATTTCGTGAATGCACTATAAAATTGATAATCGTTAATTTATGTTCATGGTTATATGAATGTGCTTATAATATAAAGTACTTAACCCTTAAATGCATGATTTTATTTTTAGACCGAGAAAAAATATATTTTGGAGCCATGAATATGCTGATTTAGGGAAAAATAATGAAAAAAATAGTTTTTTTTATTTTCATAGCTATTTTTATTAAAAACCATTTGTTGCAGAACTTCAACACTATGCACTCACTAGACAATAACTACATATGAAAATTTTTAAAACAATTTTTGGTTGTGGTAAGACAAAGAGCTACTCCACACTTCTCACACCTGTTTTGCGTGTATCCCTTGCATCCAGGCATTTTGCATCTGCTGCGAACACAATTACCAGGCCAGTGACCAACATTATCAGTCCTTATGTCCTTAGGAGGAATATGTTGAGCTGGTCCTCTCCTTTTTTTTTGCTTGTATTTCCACTTCAACACTGTTGCTGGTACTTGGCCTTCCTCTTTTGTTGCAGAGTTCAAATGAGTTATTTGCTTTGGCTAATACCTCAGCTAGTTCCAGTCTATAGTTACATAGGTTTAGAACTGATGAATTGGCTTCAGTTGTTTTTAAATTTTTATACACAAGCCAAGAATTTATTACCGTCATGTCCAATAAGTGGTAAAAGATACGAAGATACCACTTTCGGCTTCTCATTGCAATTCGGTACCTCCCAATAAAGCTATCCATTAGGTCCACTCCGCCCATATGGGCATTATATTCCTTTATTATATGTGGGCATGAAATTTTAATTCTAGTCTTATTTGCCTTGTCAAATCTTTCTACTTGGCCCACAGGTTCAGCTCCAACATATGAAGATAGAAAAGTTACAACTTTATTGTCCTTCCAAGTAACTGCTGTCAAATCAATACCGTCAAATTCAGTCATCTGCTCTTCATAAGTTCCACGAGGAACAGATTTCTTCATCATTGTTTTTTTATCCGGCAGTTTGCAGTTCACTAGCCTGTTAGATTGCACAGTACCTAGGCTATAGATTCCTTGTTTGGCAAGATAGGTAACTAAAGGTACAGAGGTGTAAAAATTATCAAAATAAATTATATGATTTATATGCCTTGGGACACCTCTAGCAAGCCGGACTACAACATTTCCCACTGGCCCAAAATCTGGTTTATCTGGAAGCCGTTCATTCTCTTGGCCAGTATATATTTCAGATATCCGCGCTATGGAATTTAGTATTTGGGGGCCGGTACGCCGCAAAAATGCGCATCTCCATCCCAACTCGTCGTGCATTAGGTCACTCCTGACAAGAACGGCGACGCTCCTAAAGGGGCGACCGGAGTCAGGATTGACCTCGTCAAAACGATGCACAGCGAAGTTGGGGATGCGCAGCGTGTCAGTAGCCGTGAGCTTAGTCTCGCCAAGCAGCACGACATGAATGCCATGCAGCCTGACGAGATTTTTAAGCTCGGCTATGCACCCCCTGATGCCGCCGGGATTCAAATAAAGGATTTTAAGGTGGAGGGGGGTCTCTGCGAACCGCGGTTAGAGATGAGATGGCGGATGATACCGCCTCCAAGGGGTCATTGCCTACGGCAATAGAGACAAGGACGTCACCAAGAATACCGGTGATCAGCCTGATCAAATGAGAGATGGCCCCCTCGATTCGCTGAGCCGTTTGTGTATGGTCGGCTACGGTTGAGGGGGTTTTTCCCTGTGGGAGAAAAAAGTTTAGAGGCCGCTCGGACGGCTGTGGGAAGTGGGTGGCTTGGCTGCCTATAGTTGCAGCCGGTGCCTGCCTTCGGGAGGCTGACGAGGTGGGTTGAGAGGGGGCGGGTGGTAAAGGCGTTGACGCTGCGGCTGCCGCTGGCTGCTGGGTGACACTCTTCTTCTTTTTTACCCTTTTCCTTCTTTTTGGCGGTAGTTTCCTGCCGCGGTGTGGGCTCATTGGCCGGAGCCATTAGGTGTGCTGGAGCTGCAGGTTCGTGCAGCTCCACTGTAGGTTGGGACTGAGTTGGGCGGGGTGCTTCTTGGGCACCGACTTGTCCCTCCTCAGTGGGCCGCGCCGTCGTGCTCGGCGCGGGGGGGTATGGTGGGGGGGGAAGTTTGATCCCCTTCTTCTTGGCCACCCTTTGTAGGATGGCACATTTGGTGTCATTGGCCGAGTGGGCCTTGTCGCAATTGGGCGCACTTGGGTCTTTTGCCCTTGTTGGGGCAGTCGCCTGCGAGGTGCTCACCTGAGCACCGAACGCACCGCAGTGGTCGGTGGCAATTGGTGGAGGAGTGTCCGAAGGCCTGACACCGGTGACATTGTGCCGGGCCTCCTCTACCATGCCAGGCTTCAATAGTAACGCCTGGCATGTTGAGCACCTCGTTGACCGCATATAAACGGGCCAGCTGCTCCTTGCTCAGGTGGTCGAGCTTTAAAAAGAATAGGGCGCCCGGTCTGCCTCTTCTGGGCTGGATTGCCCTGGAGTAGGTGGCCGGGAAGCCCTTGTCGCAGAAGTCAGCGACCACTTCCTCCGGCGATGTATTGGCCGGTAGGCCGCGTATGCCCACTTTCGTGGGTAGGTCATCCGTGGGCGTGTAACAGTACCACACGAATGTGGAGTCCTTTTGTGACTCCTCGACTAGGTACCGTTGAATGATTCTAAATTCAGAGGCTGACTGGGGCCGGAACCTCATACCACGCCCGAAGGATCGGGCGTTCGGGGCGTGGCCGAGCTGCTTCTTCAGCTCGGCGAAGTGCTTCGTCCAGTCCGGGAAGCACTCGACTATTATGGGAGGGTAGCCGTTTGGCCTCCTCCTCCATCGGTCTGGACGTGGATGCGGGCTGCGTGAGCTGTGTGGATGTGCCGGGTGTGGCGGCACTCGGAGATGGTGGAGCGGACGCCATGCATGCGTAACTCGGCGGCGGTACGGCAGGGCGAGACCGTTCCCCCACCTCGGGGGCCAACGTCGCATAGGACGTTGAGTCTGTCGCCCCGCTACTTTCCGCGCCGAGATATTGCCGCATTGACGTGCCGCTCGTGCTGGGCCCCGGCTGCGGTTCGTCGTCCGGGGAGAGTGGCGGTTCGTCATGGACGAGCACCGCGGCCGGTGGGGCGGCGGCGCTGTCCATCGGTTGGGCGGGGGTCGGGCCCCGCCTGGGGATCTTTTCCTCCCGATCAGAGTCGTCGGGGGAGGTACGTGGTTTCGCGCTCTTCGGCGGGCGCGGTTGCAACGGTGTAGTGGTGATGAGCCTGGCGTGTAATCGCGCCGACTCATCAGCCGTTGTCGCAACGCGCTCCGCCTGGCGCTGAATAGGAATACGACTCACCTCGGGCTCGTTCTCTGGCTCGGGGGCAGATGTACTGCGAAGTCTCGCTGGCCGTGCCTGCGCCTTAGCCTTAACGGGCTTGGGCGCGGTCTTCGGCTTGGTGGTGGACGGACGCGGGATTTTCCCCTTGTCCGCCATGGTTCACTGAATTTACACAGATTAAAATATACACTTTTGTGCTAGTGTCCCGGTGGAATGTCTTTGTCTTCACCTTTGCACCATATTCGGCCCCTTTTATAATAAAAGGGGCCCGAATATCGGTTAAAATTGGCTAAAACTACGACGATCACTTTACGCGCACAAACACTGAATTTAAAATTGTTAGTAAAGCGTCCTGTCGCACTGTGTCACTCGAACTGTACACGCCGCTACTGTCTAGCCACTCGACGTCGCGGAGCGGAGCTCAACGCAGGACGGAGTTTGGCGTCGACTGCCAGCGAGTGTGCTTACTGGAAGCCCCACTACTGGCCGTAGCGCGCACAGGTGTGCCGAAGATTCACGATAGGTGTTTTTCGATCTGTTGTGATGTGCGCTGGACAGCCAAATCGTGCTATCCACCCCGAAGTTAAGGAGGCGGCGCAGGTTTCCGCTGTGATGTCCTGTAGCGGGTACGCCTCGGCCAACGTGTGAAGCGGTCGACTATTGTGAGGCAGTACCTGTTACCAGCAGATAAAGGTAAAGGGCCAATTAAGTCAATGTGTATATGACTAAACCTTGATGATGTTGTTTGAAATTTTGATATTGGAGCTGTAGTGTGCCTATGTACTTTACAGCGCTGACATTGCTGGCATTCCTTAGCCCATTGTCTACAGTCTTTTCTAACTCCTGGCCAAACGAATCTCTCAGTGACCAAGCGAACTGAAGCTTTCGTGCCTGGGTGACTGAGGTTATGAAGAGTGTTAAATACCTGCTTGCGGAAAGATTTTGTCACAAACGGCCGTGGGTGTGCTGTTACATCGCAGTATACCTCGATTTTTGAACCCGGGACCTGAACCTTCTGCAACTTCAAAGAAGAGCCGTTCTTCAGTAGATCCTGCAGGTCCGTATCACTTTCCTGTTCTTGAGCAAGGGACTGGTAATCTACGGGAAATTGTATTTCATTAATGCATGAAAGAGCATCTGCGACCACATTATTCCTGCCGGCAATGTATCTTATGTCAGTAGTAAACTGACTGATATAGTCAAGGTATCTGAACTGACGAGGAGAACAGTTCTCGCGTTGTGAAGCGAATGCAAATGTCAACGGCTTATGATCGGTTAAGATACAAAATGTTCTTGCTTCGACCATGTATCTGAAATAGCGGATGGCTTCATATATCGCTAGGAGTTCTCGGTCGTAAGGACTGTATTTTCTTTGTGAAGGGCTTAACTTCTTCGAGAGAAAAATGCCAGTGGCTGCCATTCCTCACCCTTACGTTGTTGCAGGACGGCACCGATTGCTGTGTCTGCGGCGTCCGTCTGGATAGCCAACTGTGCTCGCGGATCTGGGTGTGCAAGGAGTGCTGCATCTGAAGGGCTTTGCTTACATTGGTTAAATGCATTCAATACCTCCGAAGATAGCTCGATGGGCTGCGATCCTCTCGTTTTAGGACCTGCTAAAAGAGTGTTGAGCGGCGCCTGCGTAGCAGCTGCTGAGGGAATAAAGCGGTGATAAAAGTTAAGCATTCCGAGAAATCTCCTCAGTTCTTTTACTGTTTTTGGCACTGGAAAGTCTTGAATAGCTTGTACCTTAGATCTTAATGGTTGAATGCCTGCTGCAGAAACTCGGTACCCGAGGAAATCAACTTCCGCCTTGCCAAATACACATTTGCTTGTGTTTTTAAGTACTCCGTATTCTGCTAGTCTTTTAAAAAGTTGCCTAAGATGTTGCTGGTGTTGGAGACTGTCTCTGCTGAATACTAATATATCGTCCAGATACACATAGCAAAAATCTAGTCCTCGGAGAACCTCATCCATGAAACGCTGGAAGGTTTGTGCAGCGTTGCGAAGTCCGAAAGAGATGAACGGGAACTCGTACAGTCCAAATGGTGTAGTTATTGCAGTTTTTGCTATGTCTTCCTCGAAAATCGGTATTTGGTTATAAGCCTTTACTAGGTCACACGTAGAATATATGGTGCTACCTACCAGCTGTTGCGAGAAGTCTTGTATATTCCGTACTGGGTATCTATCCGGAATAGTGCGTGCGTTAAGTGCCCTGTAATCTCCACACGGTCGCCAGCCATCGTTCTTCTTGCGAGCCAGGTGTAGGGGTGAAGACCAAGCACTCTCTGATCTGCGTGCCGTGCCATTTTGCAGCATTTCTTCAAACTCCCTCTTTGCGATTTCTAGGAGAACAGGATCTAGGCGACGAGGGCGACTCGAGACGGGTGGACCGGGGGTAGTACGTATATGGTGAACGGTGTTGTGCTTAGGAATACCTGGTTTACCAGCAGGGCGCGTAATTTCCGGGAATTCCTTGAGTAGGCGATAATAACCAGTGTCATCGATCATGGTACGGACTGATGAGATGGCTGTTGCGGAGTGTTGCTTTGGTGCGGTAACTGTCAGTGTTGTGACGTTGTCGACTAAGCGATGGTTGCGGCAATCGACCAGTAGGTTGTAGTAACCTAGGAAGTCAACGCCGACGATTGGCTTCGAGACATCGGCTACAATAAAACGCCATGTAAATGCGCGGCGAAGTCCCAAGTCCAAAGTGAGGTGTAGGTAGCCATAGGTAGATATGATGATGGTGCCATTTGCTGCAAATAACTCGTACTTTGTTTTAGTACGTGGCTTTTGAACACGGGATCGCGGAAAGACACACAGGTCTGAACCCGTATCGACGAGATATTGTATCTTAGATTTGCGATCCGTTATGAACAAGCGGCTTGATATAGCTAGGCAGTCGTTAACCGCCACTAATGGCTGCCTTGGTAGTTTACCGACTTGCTGCTTGTAAAACTACATGGCTGTACGCACTTCTATGCGCGCTCCCTAAATCGATAATGGTACCAGCAGTGTGGGTGTCCTTCAGGTCGTGAACGCGATCGAGAGCGGTACTGAGATCTTTGTTTAGACCTACTGCGTGGACGAGAACGCCCACGTAACTCCATGCTCATGGTTTCCAGCTTCTGACTAAGCTCTGCCACTTTTTGAGTAAGTAACTCGATCGCAGTACTCGAAGATGTTGACGGTAGCCTTCAATTTCTCGTACATCCCCGTTTTTGGCGGTGTGACTATTAAGTCCCTTATTTCTGCTGTATGTTGCGGCTCAAGTTGTGACAACACGAAGTAGAACTTGGTACTATCCTGTGTTATGTTTGAAAGAACGAACTGACCTTCTAGTTGCGCAAACCATAGTACGGGATCATCCGGGTTGAATACTGGCGTCCTCACTCCGACTCTGCATGTTTCCATGGACACTTCCTTGTTAGCCTCCATTTTATTTCTTTATATCGGGGTCACCAATGAAGCGGCTTAATGGTAATCTTCTACGCCACTCTTAATTTATACGGGCTAAACAAGGCAGCTACTAATAAAACACTTGGAAAGCGAATATAGGAGTATATTGCGGAGTAAACTACGGTAACAATACAATTATGACACTGGAGTATAAGCGTAACGAGAATAACGAGAATAATTTTATACATAAACAACATGGTCTTTTATACCCAAAATTAATTAATAGTAATAATGCATCGGCGGGGGTTAATTGAAGATGGCCGCTAGACGATTTGCAGCATAAGCTCCGCCCACTCGCTGTCTAAACAAAAGAAAGAAGTCGGCCATGATGCGACGCGTGAGCAGCGGGCAGTGTCCAGCCGGTACGTCACACATCGCGCCACCCGTACGTCATTGATCATACGATTCCGGGGGCGCGTTTGAACGTGCGAGTCTACTTGCGTACTCGCTACAGTAGTCTGGAAATCTGACTGTACGTCCGCTTCTTATCTTAAAGAGAGTTGCATTTTTTTTGTCTTGCAGATCATCTTTAGCTAAAAATGCCCGTTTCAGGCGGTCGACTGTGACTCTCTGTGTTTTTCCTTGCACGTCTATATCGAAAGTCTTCTTGTCTCGGCGAAGAACTTTGTAAGGGCCCATGTATGGGGCTTGAAGTGATCTTCGTACCGGACCTTGACGAAGGAAGACATGAGTGCATTTTTCCAGGTCTTTTTGAACATAAAACAGTCTACTAGAACTAGTATGCCAAGAAGTTGGTTGCGGTGTCAGTTTACTCATATGCGCGCGAAGTCTACCAATCATGGTGGTAATGTCTCCGTCTCCTGAAGTTGTGTTGGAGAGAAACTGGCCTGGTAGACGGAGTGGCTCGCCGTAAACTAGCTCTGCCGTAGATGCCTGCAGGTCTTTACAAGCGGTGCGTATTCCCAGAAGAACCCAAGGTAATGCTTCTGTCCAGCTTGAGCTTACGTGGCAGGTAATGGCGGTTTTGAGTTGGCGATGCAACTTCTTCACTAGGCCGTTGGCTGCAGGATGGTATGATGTGGTTAGGTGGTGTTTCGCGCCGATTAGCGCCGCGAGTTCCTTAAAAGTATGCGACTCAAACTGCCGGCCACGATCTGTTGTGATGTGCGCTGGACAGCTAAATCGTGCTATCCACCCCGAAGTTAAGGAGGCGGCGCAGGTTTCCGCTGTGATGTCCTGTAGCGGGTACGCCTCAGGCCAACGTGTGAAGCGGTCGACTATTGTGAGGCAGTACCTGTTACCAGCAGATAAAGGTAAAGGGCCAATTAAGTCAATGTGTATATGACTAAACCTTGATGATGTTGTTTGAAATTTTGATATTGGAGCTGTAGTGTGCCTATGTACTTTACAGCGCTGACATTGCTGGCATTCCTTAGCCCATTGTCTACAGTCTTTTCTAACTCCTGGCCAAACGAATCTCTCAGTGACCAAGCGAACTGAAGCTTTCGTGCCTGGGTGACTGAGGTTATGAAGAGTGTTAAATACCTGCTTGCGGAAAGATTTTGTCACAAACGGCCGTGGGTGTGCTGTTACATCGCAGTATACCTCGATTTTTGAACCCGGGACCTGAACCTTCTGCAACTTCAAAGAAGAGCCGTTCTTCAGTAGATCCTGCAGGTCCGTATCACTTTCCTGTTCTTGAGCAAGGGACTGGTAATCTACGGGAAATTGTATTT